AGAACAAATCGGCAACAGCTTTGCGTTGACTTAAGCACGCACCATGCTTTTATTTTGACAGTCAGAAACCGGATGCGAGTGTGTGACTCGCGTAGGTTTCACATAACTGCTAGCGAGCTGGCAGGCTGCGAGAGGATCGGCATCTAAAAAAGCGACTTGGAAAAACTACTTAACGGTAAGAGACGAATTCGGCGACCAAATATTCACGTACTGCGCACAGTTTGTTGCATTTTGCCGACAGCGTTTAGCGCCGCGGTGCGGCACTCGCCTTTTTTCCTGCCTCTCAAAAAGACGAGTCCCGCTCGGTCGTGTAAAGCGCCTCCTTATTGCTCGTCAGCCCGTGCTCGCTCTTATTGCTGCGGGAGCCCGTGACGTGCAGTAACTTGACTCGCTCCTTCCACGCGTCCGCGGAGTGTGTACGCACATGTAAACGCTCGCGCTTCCGTGCACACGTCTACTCATCTCTCCGAGGCGAGGTCGGAGACGTCCGTGAGCGGCCATGCGTCGTGCACGCGTCAGTGGGAAAGTTACGGCGGCGCAAAAGGGGAACGGTGCACCCTCCGGAAGACAGCGAAAAGGGACATTTGCCCAAGAATAGCTCCAACGGGGTTTTCCCTAATACGCGACATGTCGCGCGAGCCGAGCCCGTGTTCGGCAAATCTCGTTTTTCTTCCACATGTCACGTCGGCGCTTGCAAAGTGGCGGATGATGTTCGGGTTGCCTTGTTGACTTCACTGCAACGCACCCGCCTTGCGGCCTCCAACTTCCCAATGGCGCAACCTGACTGAAGGGCAAAGTGGGGCAAACGTCGTGAAATGAAACTTTTTAGTCCGTTCAAATCATTTCGCAAAAGGAAGTACGAGCTTGCATTTTTGCAAATCGAGTATGTCATTCTGTCCTTTTCGTGGACCAACGCTCATCAAATGACACCCAGGAGTCCGACAAGTGTGTCTGTACCGCTTGTGCGCGTCTATTTTCCCCTCAAACTAACGCAACTCACAGCCATTAATGTCGAATTGTTTCTCAATGTATTGGCACCCGTAAGGTTGCAAACATTTCCATTGTCCAACTTCACGCAAATTTCAGGTTCGATTGTGATACACATGCTTGTTTTATTTCTGTGCGCATTTCTCTGTGGAAGGAAGTGGTACAAAAGAGTGTTTTCCTTTTTTCCCCGCAATTCACAACACTTCCGGGGCTCGACTAATTTCTGGTTGTTGTTGTTGAAATATCCCATCCCAAATATAAAGATCCCATTTTCCAATCCGCTTTATCCTCACAAGGATGGGGGGGGGTGTGGGGGGGGGGTTTGCTGGAGCTTATCCCAGCCGTTTCAGGGCAGTAGGTGGGGGACACCCTGAACCGGTTGCCAGGGACAAACAGAGACGAACAAACATACACGCTCACACTCACACCTTGAGACAATTTGGAGTGTTCAATCAACCTGCCATGCATGTTTTTGGAATGTGGGAGGAAACCGGAGTACCCGGAGAAAACCCACGCAGGCCCGGGGAGAACATGCAAACTCCACACAGGAAGGCCGGAGCCGGGATCGAACCCACGACTCCTGCACTGTGAGGTCGAATATAAATATCCCAACAACCGTCGCCTATCGACAGTATCCATTGTCGATATCGCACATAACCCAAAGTGTGCAGAGACAATCTACTGTAAGAATTTCTATCTGACGATCAAACGTTTTTTATTTATTTTTTTGCCGTAGGTGTCCTCGAGCAAAATACCCACAAGACGCAATAAATCAAAAAGAAAGTCAAGAATTATCGGCATTCTGTTGATCAACGTATTAGCTATGATGTCAAAATCACCCTTCTATTCTAAACACGCAGATGACAACGTAGATTCTTCTTTTTTTTTTTTTTAACGGAGTGATATTTAAGTGGGAAGGTCAAAGTGATGGAC